CGCTCCCACTGTCAGAATTTGTGGATGAAGAATGAGCCTGCAGTGTCATCTGAAGATCAAACAGCCGGACGACAATTACTTGTTTTCAGGAATTATTTGTGATTAAAGCGTAGCAGCAAAAGTCAAAGGAAATGTTAAAAAGAGCAGCAGGTTCATGAATTTGAGACAGAAACGTGGACAAAAAGACAGGAGACAGAACTGTGAAACAATAATGATCAGGATTTATACGAAACAAAGTGAGTAAAGTTCAAAACATCAAAGTACACAAACAGATGTTGTGTTTGTTTCTCTCCTCAGGTGAAAGTGTCAACTTCCTGAGAAACACCTTCACTGGGTTTGCTGCTGTAGCCGGCTTTCTTCTTGTAGTTTTCATTTTCACCGTTTCACATAAATTACTGAAGAGGAAACGCAAGAATGAAAGGTAAAAACCTATTAATTACAAGTTATTCATTTGTTTAATTAGTCATTTACAATTACCATTTTTAATAACAGGATCTTCAAAGTCAGTTTTATCAGTTTGATTGAATCAATTAATGCTGTTTATGAAACTAAATGTAAAACTTTTAACTCTTTTCCTTTTAAAAAAAGTGTTTTTTTTTTCTCGACTTTAACTCCGACCTTATTTCTCAGTTCCAGATCAGAAAGCTTCAACGATGCTCCAGAAAAAGAGACGAAACAAACGTCACTTTGATCGTCACGGTTTGGATCATCCTTCTGGAATAAAACAACTAAAATGTGTAAAAATTATTACCAAAGGAGAGGAAATTTATTATTTAAAGCAGCTTTTTAGTTTAATTTGACGTATAAACTGTAAGCGAACAAAGGTTTTGATAACAAACTTCAATTAAAATCTTTGGAAAAGTTATCTTTATATTTGCTTTAAGCCATAATTTATTAGTTGCGTGTTTGGGTTGAAATATGTCAATAAATTATATTTGTGTTAATTTTTTTTCTTGCAACAAAAACGATAAAAGCTGGTTTTCAAAACTGTTAGAACTGTTCCTTCTTATGCTATTTTTACAATTTATATTTAGCAATAAATAAACTATTATTATTATTATTATTACTATTATTATTATTAAAACTCATTGATAAGACTGAATTAGAAAAAGGCTGCGCGTGAGCAACGTGCACTTGAATCATGTTTTGACTACGGGAGCCCCCGAGTGTCATATTTCAGCACGCGCTGCTTGTGTCGGGTGTCAAGTTACACAAGTGGGAGCAAAACTTCCGGTTAAGATTTTCAAAATTAAACTATTCTCATGACCAACACAATGACTTGTTGCATTTCTCTCAGACATAATCGCATATTATAAAACAATAATATTTTAGGAGAAAATCACAAATTTTTACTTTGTTTACCCGTTTCTAATGTAAAAATGTCATAAATAAAAATTAATTTGTGCACTTTTGTTGATGGTAAACAGATGAATTAATCAACAGCAAAATAATCAGTAAAACTCGAAAGTCTATTTGAAATACTATCATTTTCCATGTTAGTAAGTAAAGTTTTATTTATAATGCGCCTATTACAGAAATATATTCACAAGGTGCTGTACAATCATTAACAGTATAAAAAATAGTGGAAAGAATAAAATGAAACAGAAAACATAATTAAACATAAGCAACGACAATTGAAACATCAAATCAAGAACAAATTTCTAAAATTATAAATCAAACACAAGGTCAATGCAGTTCAAAGTATACATTAATACACAAAAACATAATGAATACGAGATAGAAAAATATGGTCTAAGTTCAATAATTAAAAACACACATTGATGAGCGTTTACACTGGAGGTAGGCTGGCAGTAATGGTGAAATGGTTAGCTAAACGAGTGAAAAAGTGAGTTTTTAGGAGTGACTTGAAAGAGACGATGTTATCAAGGGAGCACAGATTAACAGGGAGTTCATTCCAGAGCCTGGGGGCCACAGAGGAGAAGGACCGGTCACCAGGGGTCTTAAAGTGAGTGAGGGGAACCATAATGAGATGTTGATCCTGTGAGCGGAGGTCTCCTCTGGGGTTGTAAGGGGAAATGAGACGTAATGTGTCCAGGTGTTGGCCATGAAGAGCTCTGAAGGTGAGGACCAGGATTTTRAACCGGATTCTGAAATTAACATGATTATAATGTTAGTACAACTTCTGTATATTGTTAATATGAATATTTAATTTTATTAAATAAGGTAATTTGGATATTTATATGCTTGAGCATCTGACCAGTGAGGAGCTGAACAAGAGCTGAAACATTAATGCCATGTTTTTATAGGATTCAATTCAAAAATACTTTATGATCCCAAAGGGAAATTAGTTATATAGTTGTTATTCTAAATTCTCTCCCTCTCTCTCTTAGAACACACACACACACACACACACACACACACACACACACACACACACAC